CAGCCACGAGGCGTGATGTCTTATTAATAAATGATGTGGTTGCTGTTTCGGCTTCGTTTTCCCTTTCGTTTCTGGGCACTGTAGCGTAACTCCCATAGCTTTGCGATCCCACTCCATGTGCAGATGGATGCAGCACCCGTGGGGTGGGTGCTTCACCTCCCTCTCTGCCCCAAACTGGGGGCTGTTACAGGAGGAGAGGAGACCCCAGTTCCTTGCAGACCCCAGCACAAAGCTGGAAGCCTCTTGTTTTCCAGAAAGGGAGCCCAGTGGGATGTCTGTAAGGGAAAATGTTAGGCAAACCTTATTTTTTGTATGCATCCTTTGCTCCCCCTCCCCAAAAGCTTGAACACTTCCTCTCACCTGATGTTTTTCCCTGTTTCTCCCCACAGATACGCTGTCAGTGCCTCGCTGGTCCCCGCAGATCCCTCGCCGAGATTTAGGAAACTCGATAAAACACAGGTACGCCCAGCCCACCGCCCCACAGCTGATCCCCCCTGGTCCGGGGGGTGAGCATCTCCATTCCGATCTCTGGCCTGAAGCGGGGGGCTCGGGGCTGTCCCCCCCGTTTCCCATGCTGGGCTGTTGCTGTCCTAGAAGCCCATTTAAATTCCATTTCAGTTCAGATTTGGTTTAGATAAGGCTTGAGCTGCTATCAATAAAAGCCACGTATTATCTGTGACCCTGGCGACCTTCAGCAAATTCCCCATCTCCGGATTATTGCCCTTCCCTATCTACCTCGAGAAGGAGCAGCACCAGAAACAACCTCTGTGCTGCTGTCTGATGGGGCAGCTGCTTTGCTGTTGGGCTGGAAACTTGGGTCTCCAGGGCAGAGGGGTTTATGGGGGTCTCTGGACGCAGCCTCGGGTGAGCAAAAGTGGGGACCCGCAGTGAGCCAGTGGGTAATGCCCATCCTGGCCACCTTGAACTCTTTTGGAGCAGGCTATGCCCTTCTGCATAGCCAAATGTGGGGCAGATTTGTGCTTTGTCATCCCTAGAAAGATGCCTCAACACCTGCAGAAGTAAGGGAAGGATAAATGGGGGCTTAGGAGATAAGGGCAGCTTGAGAGATGGATGGGGGGTGGCCACTCCTCGTGTTTCTCCCTGCAGGTTTTCCACCAAGTACTGGATGTCTCAGACCTGCACCGTCTGCGGGAAAGGAATGTTGTTCGGCTTAAAATGCAAAAACTGCAAGTACGTTGTGGCTCCCAAGCCCTTTGTGTCACTCTTTCATGTTATGAGGGGAAACAAATTAGGGTTTTGCTGCTGGAGCTGAGCAGAGACTTGGGCATAGGGAGCCTGGCCTCTTGCCAGCTCATCCTCACAGCAAGCTTTAATGAGATGTGAAGTTGAGTGAAGAACACCCCAAAATGGGGATGGGAGCAAGGTCCTCTGGGAGCTCCAGGCATCGCATGGGTTTTGCCCACAGCCTTGGGCTGTATACTCTATTTTTTTTTTAATCAGAAAAACGTCTTGGGGCCTCTGTTTCCTGGCAATGTCGTGGCACAGAGGAGCCAACCCATCCCAAACCGCAATTAAGCTGTGATGCAAAGGAACGGGGCTGTGCTGGTCATAAAATCAGGCAGGACTGGACAAACTGGGGCCACTTACACTGCTTTAAATCCAGCTCTTGCACAGTATCGTGCAGCCATCAGCACTTAGTAAAGCCGCTGCTGGAGACAGGATTGCCTTTTCCAGGGATGGGTGCTGGGAATACGCCCATCGTCTCTGGGTAACCGAGTTAGCCAGTGCTATCAAGTGATAATGATCGCTGTTGCCGTTGATTAAATGGTGATGAGTGAGCAAATTGGGATTTAAACCCAGACAAGAAATGCCTGATTACTGCGCAGTTGGTGGTGGCTTTCTGGAAGTGCTGTTATCAAATACATATATATATATTTTTAAAGCAGCGATTCCTGTTGCATTCAGTGTTTAAGCAACTGAAGGATTTGCTGCCTGGAACTGGTCCCGACATGGGAGCAGGGATGCTGGGATCTGCCCAGCGATGCTGCGGCTTCGGCTCTGCCTGCAGTCACTCAGAGAAGAGCAAGTAAATTCTCTGATTGTTGAAAGTTAGGGTGAACGCAAAGTATTTAGGTTCGCTGGCTTTGCTTTCCCCAGAAACAGAAGGGGAACAGGCAGGTAAAGCAAACAAATGGACCCCAACCACCCTCAAGCCTCAAATACTGAATTAATCTCTGCTTTTCCCTCTAGGAATGGCTTTGTAATAAAAGCCAACACGCGTGGCTCCTGAATTTTCATTACCCAGCTCATTGACTTGTAGCTGCCGTCTTTTTTTTTTTCTTCATCCTTTCCCCTTGTTTTTTGAAATCTTTTCCTCTTCTTTGCCTTTTCCCCCATAGCTCTCCCTGCTCTGCTGGGTTTGCTGTGGCAAAGCATGAGCCGGGGACTCGTTTCCAACCCTAATTAAGAACAAACAGGAACATTTTGGGGCGGCGGGAGCCTGCTTATGCCTATATGCATGACCCGGGGGTGAAACCCTCCATGGACTCCTGCCCTGGCTCTGCGAAACCAGGCAAGAGCACTGCAGAATATTCAATGTTAGCTGTAAATGCTCTCATTATTTTTGTTAAATGTCCTGGTAATAAAGCCAGGAGGGAGGGCACAATGGCAGAGATTCATCAGGAGCCAAAGCGGACCAAGGCAGCCGCTTCCTTCCCCTCTGCTGCCCCTAAATTTAATTAAGCGTAAAGCAGCGTTAGTGGTGGATGGTGGCTGGGGGGCAGCGGCTTTTCCCCAAGTACGGGTCTCTGCAGTTTTTATTTCAGCCAGGGCTGGCATAAATGACAATTTTTGGCATCCTCAAGCTGGCTGGTGGGAGCTGTGCAGTTCCCCCAGGTTTGGGGGATCCCGCGCCCCTCCATCGGGAGAGATGCATCTCTCGTTTGCCAAGGTTGTGCAGCCCCTGCATCCTCCCAGCCCCAGTGCTCCAAGACATCTCACATCCCTTCTTATCCCTGCAGCCAGGCTGGGCAACTGGGGGATCTTCCTGAGCTGCAGGACCGCGGGGATCCGGGAGGCTTTGCCCATGGGACTGCTCAGGCAGTGAGCACCCAAGGTTTGTGCACACCTCAGATATTACATCGAGTCACCTTGCTGGGTGGAGAAACGGTCCCTGGTCTGCAGTGATGCTCCCTGCTCCAAGCTGCATCCCTCCAGCTGTGCCCTGATGCTCTACATCCCTCCAGTCATACCGTGATGCTCCACATCCCTGTCGCCCCCCCCTTCCTCACGCCTTTTTCTCTCTTCCCTGCCAGGCTCAAGTGCCACAACAAATGCACCAAAGAGGCCCCCCCATGTCACCTGCTGATCATCCACCGTGGAGGTAAGGGCCTTTCTCCTCCCCGCTTCTGTCTCTGTGGATGTTGCCACCAGGTAAAACTTTCAAAAGCTCCCCCGGGCGATTTGGGAGCCTGACCCCTCGCTGACGGCCGGCGGGATGGTGGCTCCCGAACCGCTTGGGCGCTCTGTGAAAATTTTACCCACCGTTTTTTCCGCTTGTAGGGAGACGAGCCATTCGGGGCGAGGCAGATTTGCATTGCAAACCACTTCCACCCACCCTTCCCCTGCCTCCTTTTCTTTTCAGATTCCCCACCGCACGGGGTAAGTGCCACAGGTTTTAGCCTTTCGCTACCCTTGAGAGCTTAGGGCAGATGCGTGGGACCCGAATTGGCCCACGGCGCTGCTGGTGCATGGGGGTCCCCGCAATGGGAGTATGGCCGTGCCCCTGCGGATGCTCGTGGTGCTTTCGGAGCTGCCTGATCCCATTCTCCTCCGGGAGAACCCGTCCTAAAATCTGCAGAGGAGGGAGAACTTTGCAACGGGACAACGGGCAGTGCTTCCCACCTCTTTCCTTCCAGATTTTGGCTGAGGACTGCAGCTGCCTAAGGGAAACACTTCCAATTACCATTGCCTTGAACGTTGAGCTCTTAAGGCCGTTGTTTTTTTGTTAAACACCACCAAAAACGCCCTCGTGGGGAAGTGTGTTTTGCTGGTGGCACCTCGCAAGGCGAGTGGGGATGCTGTGGCTCTGAGGGAGGCAATTTTGCAGCCTGCACTCTGGCCCCCCATGCCCTTGCTTGCAGCAAATTGAAAAACTCTCTGAAAAACTACAGTGAGGAAGAGGATGGAGCCTCCTCCCAATGCTGGCTGCCCCCCTGGCTCATGGGGTGGCTGCTGCTGAGCCTCCCTGGATTGCAGCCCCTTGGAGAGGGGAGAAGGGTGCAGTTCACATCCCTTAAAGCTTATAAGGGGGAGTTTTGGCTGTAGCCTGGGTGCAAGGGGGAGCCAAAGGCTGGCCGGAGCCAAGCGGCTGGAGGTGCCACAGGGGATTGCTCCAAGAATGGTTTGCAAGTGCAGGGTGACCCCAAACCCTCCTCCAAAGCTTTGATGTGTCTCCATCTCTCTTCCCCCTCCTCTCCATCCCCTTTTCCCCCCTCTCCCTTCTTCATCCAGCGAGGTTAGTCCGGACGGAGTCGGTGCCCTGCGATATCAACAACCCCTTGCGGAAACCCCCCAGGTATTCGGACCTGCACGTCAGCCAGACGCTCCCCAAAACCAACAAACTCAACAAGGTGAGCTGCTCCCCCAGCCCTGACCTGCCCTCCATGTCCACCCCTGCCAGAGGGCACCTGGCCCCACATTGCCAAAATATTGGTGGCTTTTACCACTTCTTCATGTGCAGCTGCTCTTGCAGATGAAAGTGCAAAAGCCAGTGGCGTTTTCAGATGCCACCCAACTTGGGTCACTTGAGACACCCAGTTTGTCTTGGCTCTCCCAGGGCACGTCCTTCCCTGCAGCATGAATCCCATCTGCTGGGCAGGCACATGGCTTGCAGATTAATTTCTAAAAGAAGAAAGTAAAGAGCGAAAGGGGCTATGCCCTGCCTTTGCTTTTGGGACCGTTGGGTTGCCCTCAGGATGGGGCATCTCCCAGCCCCTCAGTTGTCTGCCAAGACCAAGCCTTGCAGGAGGCCCTGTTGGTCTCCAGGCACATCCACTGCTATGGCACTGATGTGTGTGTCACTGTGTGTGTAGGAGCTGCCTAGAAACTTGCTTAGGGGCTGAAATTGAAAAAATAATCCCATGGACTGGTGTTAATTGCAGGAGTAGAGCAAGGGTGAGTTTGGCGTTGGGGCAGGGTGAGTCATGCTGCCAGCAGAGCTGTGAACCCCTCACCTCTTGAGTTTCCCAGTGGTTTGAGGTCTCTGCTACCACCTGAGACTTCAGGAAAAAAAAATATTGTTACAAGTAAAAGAAATGCAGAATTTGATTGTGTCCCTGGCAAAGCTGGTCAAGCCAGACCTGACAGCACATCTGGCTCACTTGCTTCTGTCCTGTGTTAGTAGCAATAGAATGGTGTGGGGTTATTTTAGATGAAATTTCAAGCCTGTTGCCTTTGGTGGAAAATTTCTCACAGGTGGCCAAAGCTAGTGCAGGTCTGCAGGCTGTATGCTGGGCCAGCAGGATGAGGTGATTGCAGGCTGAAAATGCTTGAAGTGAGGGAAATCCTTGGTGTGATGGGGTTGGTATCTTCTCTCAAGTAACAACCGATAGGATGAGAGGAAATGGCCTCAAGTTATGCCAGGGGAGGGTTAGATTGGATATTAGGATAACTACTGAAAGAGTGACCAAGCATTGAAAGGGGCTGCCCAGGGAAGTGGTGGAGTCCCCATCCCTGGAGGTGTTCAAAAACTGTGTGGATGTGGCACTTGAGGACATGGTTTAGTGGGCACGGTGGCGTTGGGTTGATGGTTGGACTCAATGATGTTAGCGGTCTCTTCCAACCTCAATGATTCTGTAATTCTATGAAAACTCTGGCTTCCCAAAGCCTGGCAGGAACCCCCAGCTCCTCTCAGACCTCAGCACCTTCTGGTTTTCAGCGAAGGCTGGGTACTGGATGATGCAGATTTTAAACCTAAAGCTCTTAGGAGATCCTTACTGTAATGATCTGCTTTGTTATTGTTGTTGTGGGGTGGTGCAAACAACTTTCTGAGACTGGAGAGCTACTGCAGGTATTCTAAAGCAATAGAGATGCAGTCTTCTTTTTAGTGCCCGTCCTTCCAGTGATTTGTTTCATTTTATTAGAGGGCACTGGGGAAGTGACTCAGCTTGCTGATAAAGGCTTTGGGCGCCAAGGGCATCAGCCCTGTGTTTTCTTCTGTCTCTGCCTTGCCATCCTTTCACTTTTCCCAGCTTTGCTCTAACCAGAGCAGGATGATGCACAATATATCTTGTTTTGACCCAGGCAATCCTATTCTGGTTAATGTTTCCTCTATAAATGTTCTATATACAACAGGAGACCCTTCTTACTTTGATGTTTCTAAAAGCATTTTTTTTACAGATACCCTGTTCTCTGTGAATACCATTGAAATCTCATTGTTAGTGGCCATCAGTGTTGGTTTAAAAAACAACTTACCCAGCCAAGATTATTGTCTGTTTCAGGATGGTCTATACAGAATGGATGTGGGTTTCCTGGAAAGGCAAGCTCATTTGAAAATTAATCAGTTTGGACAAAATTACCTGCTAGGGGAGGCTCATGCAGATTTTCTAACCTTGGAGGGATCTTGCCATGGGTTTGGAGATGGGTGTGCCGAGCGCTGCTGAAGGTCAAGCCCTGTTACATGTCCCCAAGTTGGGTAGTAAAGTCACGAACAAGGTGGGAAATTCTGGCCTCAATTCAGTTTTTCAGATCTAAGATATCCAGGCAGGTTCTCCTCCCCGTTTGCTCCCTGGTAGCTATTCCTCACCCATTGCAGTGTGCCCTGGAGAGGCACACCCGAAGCTGTTGTCCTTGCCTTGATTAGGAAGGTTCAACGAAGGGCAAGGGAAGTTTTGGGATGCATTAGCTTATCCTTTCCAATCTGCCTCAGCTCAGCCCCTGCTCTGGGCAAGGCACTGGGTTTTTGTCTCAAAGGTCAGCAGAAGCTGCCAGGTCCTTGATGTCTCTCAGGACTGAGCCACAGGGATGTGCTCTCTGACTCTGGTCTCGGCAGCCATGGATACATGAAGCCAGCAGGGTCTGGGGAACCCTCAGTTGTGGGTGTGGAGCATGGAGGGGTTGGGGGAGCAGCCCTGTTTCTGGTGTGAAATGGCCTTGGTGCAAACTGTGATCACAAATGGCTTTTGAAAAGGCCAGGCTGGGGCTCTGGCTGTTTTTTAGGGCTTCTGGAAAGAGGGGACTGGGATGACCTGTGTTAGCTCTTGCTTGTCACTAGGGTCCTCTGCACCATGTGGTGGCACCATCCGGCGCTGCTTTCACAGGCTCCTCTCTTTTCTCCTTCCTCGTGTCCTGCAGGACCACATCCCGGTGCCCTACCAGCCAGATTCCAGCAGCAACCCCTCGTCCACCACCTCCTCCACACCCTCCTCGCCGGCCCCACCGCTGCCGCCCAGCGCAACACCTCCGTCTCCCCTGCACCCCTCCCCACAGTGCCCACGCCAACAGAAGCAGTTCAACCTGCCAGGTACCCACCTTCACATCTGCCCAATGCGAGGGGCTCATGGCCCAGGGTGTCCTCAGGGTAAGGATCTGCTCTAGCTCCTTGCCTGCCTGGACTTACACTGGGATGAGGAAAAGCTGGAAGCAGAGATGAGCAGCAAAGATGAGTTTGGGATAATTCAGGTTGTGAGGGACCTTGAGTGTCTCTAGACCGACCTTCTGCTTGAAGCAGGGTCAGAGCTCAAGGCTTTATCCAGTTTGGTCTTGAAAACCTCCAAGGATGGAGCCAGCACAAACTCTGTGGGCAATTTGCTGTGCTCGAGGCTACAAGAACCTTTACAGACATGACTCCTCCATGGCGTATGCCCATGTTGTTGCCTCGATGGCCAACAGGAAACAAGGTCTTACCCCTCTACAAGGGTAACTTGGGTTGACGTCGCTGTGTTTTTGTAGTGATGGGCCTCCAACAAGCTCGTTGGCTGCACACATGGAGTGATATTGGGGAGCAGCTGATGCTGGGGATGTCTGATGTAGCTTGTCCCACCCAGTCTTGTCTGTGTACATGGGGGCTCAGTCTCTTCAGGGATGGTGGAAGAGGTAACTTGGTCATGGTGGCTGCAGGACACAGGAGGTACATGAAATGGCCAAGAAAGCTTCTCCTGGCCTGAGGACATGCCGATGCCTGCTCCAGTGCTGCTGCATTTGGGATGTCTTTCCTGGAGGGGGATGGCTCAGCATCACTCCTGACGCCATGGAGGGGCTCAACTGTCTTTAGCCACCCACCCGCCTCTCCAGCCACTCCCAAAAAGGGCCTGGCGAGCGCAGAGGAGGGGGAGCCATGGCCCTGACCTGTCTCTGAGATGCTGAACTACTCACGGCTGGCATGGGACTTGTGAACCTTGTTTGGTTCGTGGCCTCCAGCCCCTTTGACAGGGCAGCAGCCAGGGGGTTGGGGTCTCTCCCATGTTCCAAAACCCTTAAAGTTGACAAACTGGTCCAGATAGGAAGAAGGCTCAGGACTGCTTCTCCAGAGGAACCAGACAGCACCTTCATGATCTGCTGATCCTGCTGTGTTGTGGTGATCCCTCCCTTCCATCTTGACAAACCTTCAGCTAGAGAGGAGGAGGAGAAGGAGGAAGTCGAGGGGGGATTTGACTGACAGGATCCATTGCTGCAATAGCAAACATTTCAAAAAGCTGGAGAAAAATACCCCAAACAAACCACCAATGAAGCACCACAGGTCCTTGTGTGCCTGGAGAGGCTGCAGCCATGCACAAGTCTCATTCACTGGAGTGCCCAGGGCTCAGGCAGGGTGCTGGAGTGGTGTAAGGAAGACAGCAGAGGAACTGTAACGAAGCACTGAGCACCCCAAGGAGCGTGACCCATCTGTCAAGGAGGGACTCAGCTCTCTCTCCTGCTCCCCAGGTCGGGATTTTGCCAGCCACAGCCCTTGAGTCTCCAAGCACCGGGAGGGTTGTCCTCAGCGTGGCTGCAAACCTGAGCACGGCAGAGGTTTCTGTGCCAGTATAACCAAGTTTGTGGTGGTCCAGCCAGAGCCGGAGCATCTGGACATCTCGGCAGCGTGACAGCTAGGCTTGCAGTCACTGACACCCCCGAAGCGCTCAGTGGGCAAGTCCTGGACCCCACCTGGGTCTGCGGGGAAGGGACAGAGGGTCTGGCTTTTGGTGACCCCATCACGCATCACTTCTGGAGCAGAGACCTCCTGGCAGATCTTCTGAGATGTTATTTTGGGTTGTTTAAAGCAGAAACCACAAAGATTACCCCCATCATGAGCAGCAGCATCTCCTTATGGGGACCTGGACATGAACCAGCACAGGGAGCCCCTGGGGAGCTTGGCTGCTGACAGGGATGGAGCGGGGCAGGATCAGACCCTGGCAGCTCAGGGGAGGGTGACTGCTCCCTGCTTTCATGCCCGTGATGAGCAGAGCCCTGTGGCAAACGGGACCCAAAGCAGGACTTACTGTGCTTTCATCTTCCTGCGCGGGAAGTTCTCCATGGTTCATCCCATCAAGATGGTCATCTCAGGGATTAGGATTTAAGCTTGCAAATGGCAACATGGTGACCTTTTTCTGCGAGAATTACCTTCAAGTCTCCTTTGATCTCAGCGCAGGGATGCTCGGGTCCCACTGCAGAGCTGAGGTCGGTCTTTGGGGTCTCAAAGCTGGAGAGAAGCTGAGGGACGGCCTTTGTGTCCTTGAAGCTTAAGGAGAAGGTGCCTTCTGAGCTGTGCCAACCTCTGGTGGCCTCAGCAGCTCTGTCTTGCTTCATATCCGTGACCTGCCTGCCCACGTGAGTCAACTCAGCCCTTGGGCTTTGTCCACTGGTGATAGGGAACTGATGGAGAGTGCCACCACCCAGAGCCCTTCTGCAGTGCTGGCTTTGGGACTGCTGACAGCCACCAGTGCCTTTCAGTGCCCCCAGGAAGTTCACATCTCTGAAGCATGGCAAAAATGCACAATTAGATGGGCTGGATCGGGCAAAAATGGGCAATGGCTGCAAATCTATTGCTTGGTGTCTCCATGATGCTGAGCAGTCCCTGAAGGCCGGTCAGGAACTGAACACTCAAACCCTGTGGACTTTTGCTGCCAGATAGTTAGAGGCCTAAGGTCTTATTTTTTTGGCCTGGACACCCTATGTTCCACTGGAGAGATAAAGGTGTGAGAGGTTGGGTCATGCAAGGGGGGACCTGGGGCTGGTGTTTTGTGGTGCAGGACTGGGCACAGGTTGGGGTCTCTCCAGTGTCTGGTTCTGCAGGGCAGCATTTAACCCTGCTTTCCTCTTTTCCAGCTTCCCATTACTACAAGTACAAGCAGCAGTTCATTTTCCCAGGTAAGTGTCTTGGAAAGTCTCTCCAATAATGCAGGGTGTGGAGGTACCCCTTAGGGAGGTGAGTGCACAGTCAGCTCTCCTGACCCCTGGATTTATGCAGGGGGATTGTGCTGGGGTGGGATTTCTCCCCAAACCCAAGTAACAAGCAATAGGATGAGAGGAAGTGGCCTCAAGTTGTGCCAGGGTTGGGTTAGATTGGATATTAGGAAAAGTTTCTTTACTGAAATAGTGGTCAAGCACTGGAAGGGGCTGCCCAGGAAGGTGGTGGAGTCACTATCCCTGGAGGTGTTCAAGAAGCGTGTGGATGTGGGGAAGTGATTTAGTGGGCTTGTTGATGCTGAGTTGATGATTGGACTTGATGATCTTAGAGGTCTTTTCCAACCGTAATGATTCTGTGATGGTGCTGCAGAACCTTGCACTACTAAGGTGCTGCAGGGCCGGGTGGCCCCACATTACACCCAGCTATAGCTAAGGGTGTAAATGGGTTGTAGCTGGGGACAAAGGGAGGTTTTCAGTGGGATTTAGTTCCCTCGGCACTGGAAGGGGCTCCTTGTGCCTCCCAGCCCACTCTCTCTCTGCTCTCTTCTCCCCAGACGTGGTGCCTGAGACACCGACCCGAGCCCCGCAAGTGGTCCTGCACCCTGTCAACTCCAACCCCATGTGAGTGCCTCCCCCTCCTCCTGCTGCCTTCCCCATCCCCTCCCCAGGCAGCGCATCCTTCACACTCCACGTCCTCTCGGCACCCATGGGTGCTTCCCTGGCTTTGCAGGACCAGTCTGGGGCTCAGGGATGCCTTTGGGTGGGGTGGGTGGGTGGTCGGGGTGAACCGTCAGTGCTCCTGCCACCCTAACCTAGCTCTGGCTCGTGTCTCGGGGAGGAGAAAGGTGCAAAGGAGAGGGCAGGGACAGATCTATAACCTGCAGCAAGGCACCTGCCCAGCACTTTGCTGTCTTAAAAACAAAAAAAGACTTTCAGTCCAAGCAGCCAAAGCCCAAGTGATTGATCTTTTGTGAAATTGTAAGCAGAGAAACCAGGGTCTTTGAGATAGTTTTAATAAAGGCAGTTCTTGCAGCCCCCCCGTAATATTTTCAAGTCCAATAAACTTTGCACTGAAGATAGTTTTAAAATGTAATATCTAATTGGCATTAGGACCAGCTCTCTCCAGCAGGTCAAGTCTGAGCTGCTCTTCCAAATCCGGCATTCGTCGAGGTCCCTGTGCTGCCCTGGCAGTGCCGTTCCAGTTCAGAGTTGCTGGCTGATCCTTTTTATAAATGCCATTTTTGAAGGATTTTTCAAGCCAGGAGTTTAAAAGATAGGGGCTCGCTCCAGGCTGTGCTGTGGGTTGTGTCTGGCTCACCCACGCTCTCCAAGCCGCATCAGCAACTGTGGGGGGTCCGGCAGATCTCAGCTCTGCAAGAGACAATGAGGGAGGGACAGGGACAGAGCTGCTGTCCCCACTGGCGGCTGGGAAATCAATGGCAAAATGGTGAAGTCATCCACCACTTCTTTTTTCTCTTCTTGCCTAAAACAAGGTATCAGGCATAGGGCTGGCAGGCTTTAGTGGGAAAATAGCTTTCAATATGCAAAATTTGTGATTCTCCTCTTGCTTGCCCCACTGCAAATAACCCATGGGAGCTGCTGAGGTTGCGCTGGATTGGCTGGGTTAAGCAGCCAAGGTACTGGGGAAAGTGGGACGTGTGCCTGGGTTAGAGATCAGGCAGGAGGAGAGCGTCTGCATCCACCCGGGCTTTCTGTGCTGCTTGAAGTACCAGAGGTGGGCTCCTTTCGCACACGCACCCATCTCACCTCTGAGATTTATGGCTCTTTAGTGGCCATTGCACGGGTCAGGAAGCACAGGACTGCCAGGTCTTGGTGACTTGGGGAATGTTGTGCCTCTCCTGTGATCCTTGCTGCCTCTGGAAAGGGATGCTGTTATTTATGTTATTGATAATAATAATTTAAAATATATTTATATTATGCTTGAAACCACTTGTGCTGCTCCAACTGGCCTTCCTCATGGAATTTACCTAATTCCCATTAACTGTCAGGTGCAACGAGGCCCTGGTCGTGGACTTGGAGGTGGGAGATGCTGTGTAGGCAGAGAAGAAAAAGAGGAGCTCCTTGCCCAGGAGTTGGGAAACTAGATAAATTTGGGTGGTCTTACTGCAGGGAGGGTCTTTGAAACCTCCACTTCTCAAAAATAATTGAAAAACCCATTTTCTTATCTTCTGGCTTCTCATCAGCGGCACTTGTCACTTTGACCGGTGTATGTTGGGAAGGTAATTCTGATCTTGGAAGCCACCTAAAAATGCCTTAAGCATATGGCCCAATGCTGCTCTGAGAGGCAAAAAATGGTCAGAAATATGGTCAAAGCAGCAAAAAACATGGTCAAAAGCTGTGAGGGTGTAAATCTGTCCCTTACCCCGTGCTAGCCAGAGGTGACACTTTCCTGGGTGCGCAGTGATGCTGCATCCTCTGCACTGTGTGCTTGGGGCGATGGGATGGAGACCTGGTCGTGTGCTCCTACATCACCGAATCCATCCTGGAACTTCATGCATCCAATACTAATTAACGCAATAATTAATACTGCTCATCCCTGCTATCCTTCCCATGTAAGCACCCAGGGCTGTCCTTGGGGATGGAGGTGGCCAGGGCATGGGTGGGAAGGGGTTGCTTTCCCAAATTAGTGGTGAGCCTGGTACTTCTCCCTGATGCCTTTAGTCCTGGTGCAGAGCAATGCTGTGGGAAGCAGGACTCAACACCTGACTGTGTTTTCTCCCAGCAGTAATTCAGTATTTCTTTTAACAGCCTGGAAGGAAACCCATTGCTTCAAATTGAAGTGGAGCCCACCTCAGAGGTGAGACGGCTGGGTGCGCTCCTCTGCTTAGCGAGGCTTTATTTTATACATCTCTTAGGGTGCGTTTCACAGGAACCAGATAAGTTTAGCATCTGTGCAGTGAAATTGCTGATAATTGAATTAATGACTGGATCTGATCCTGCCCAGGCATCTGTGTCCCCACCCTGTGGAGGGTGCCCTCAAGTTTATAATTGAATGAGATTTTTCTGAGATGTGTTAAAAATGGGGTGGAGGGGAAGGGGTGGAGGGTGAGGATGGGGATGCAGCTTTTAATGGATGTTGTAAATTCTGCATATACAGGCCACCAAGGGAAAAGTCCAAGACACCCCGGGGGGCTGGGGGTGCAGATCATCAGGGTGGGAGCAGTCAGCATGAGCAGAGCATTGCTTGGCAGGGGTAGGATGAAACGCTACTTTCAGACAAGTTAATTAAATGCTCCACTGTGTCACACTCTTATATTGAACCCTGGGGTGGGTAAATGTACAAAAAAATTGGTTGCCTTTGGAAGGTACCTGCCCGGTTTATCTGAGTCTGAGGCAGCAGTAGGTGGGTTGCTGGGGTTTTGTCCATGTTATGTCCCTTGGCCATGCTTTTTTCCCCCTGTTTTATTGCGCTCACCTTCCTTTGTCCCCACAGAACGAGGAGGGTAATGAGGAGGCACAGGAGTCCGAGGACGACTTTGAAGAAATGAACCTCTCGCTCCTGTCCGCGCGCAACTTCCCCCGCAAGGCCAGCCAGACCAGCATCTTCCTGCAGGAGTGGGACATCCCCTTTGAGCAGCTGGAGATCGGTGAGCTCATCGGCAAGGGCCGCTTCGGGCAGGTCTTTCACGGCCGCTGGCACGGGGAGGTGGCCATCCGCCTCATCGACATCGAGCGGGACAATGAGGACCAGCTGAAGGCCTTCAAGAGGGAGGTGATGGCGTACCGGCAGACCCGGCACGAGAACGTGGTGCTCTTCATGGGAGCCTGCATGAGCCCGCCCCACCTCGCCATCATCACCAGGTAAGCCACGACATCTTGTGCTTCTTTCTTGATAAGTTTTTATTTCCAAAACATCTTCCTGCAGTTAGATGTCACCAGGAGGTGAGGCTGACCATGCCTAGCAAAGGGATGTTCTCCATCTGCTGTGATTTATGCTGTACAGCAGATAACAAACCCATCCAAGTGCGTCCAGGCAGATTCATCTCCTGTAGAAGTGGAGCTTGAGACTGGAATGGTTTGTTTTAACCAGGGACAGGAATGGTTTGCTTTAACCAGGAGAGATGTAGTGCAGTTGTGATCTCTGGGATCAACAGCTTCTGTTCTGAGTGGGTCCCTGGATGGCTGATGGGGTCTGGACCCTGCTTGAGTGCCGCCACAGCATGGAAAAGCCTCTCATTGCATAAAGTGGCTGGCCACACACCAACACCAGGTTTCATGAATAACATGGTGCTGTGAGAACGGCTCAGTGGGGTGCATGTGTTGTGTCCAATGGTCTGTGCATGTGTTGGGTCCATGGGGTCTTCTGGCTCTGAGGAGGTGGGAGACCTTGCAAGATAAGTCATGGTCTCCTGGACCATTTCTGCCCTTTCCCACAGCTGTTGTCTCTGTTTACACCCAAAACTAGGTATGGGATTAATAGGAGTGAGTTTGGGATGGGGCCACGGGAGGGAGATTGGGGTTCTTGGAGCTGATTAGGGAGCAAGTTTGGATGTGGGGTCTGCTAAACCAGCTCAAACACCTCCAGAGCTGCCTCAGCCTCCAGGAATTGCCATGTACCCGCCGTCACCCGTGTGGTAAACGTGGCACTGAGCATCTCTGTGTCTTTGCATGGGTGGACAGTCACAAAGTCCTTGCTGGCCTCGAGGCTGCTGTCGCTCCCAGAGTGGCTGTTGTCATGTGAAATACATTTATTTTTGAGTATTCAGTTATTTCCCTCACCTCCAGACTGTGTATTTAGCCATGGGGCTTGATGCGGTGCCACTTTGCATCCTGCTGCGTGTTACCTTCTCCCAGAGAAGTTTCTCCAAGGTGAGGTTGAATTTTCAGCCTTCTGGCTGCGTTTCAAAAAGCTGGCGCTGAAATGGCAACGCCTCTGACAGCCGTTACCGATGAAATATTGCATCATCCCTCCCCACCGTCCCCTTGAACGCGGCACCTCCCGGCCCCCTGCTCCCAGCTGTGGATGCTGGGGTGGGGGCTCTGCTCTGCTTCCCCTTTTTATCAACAGCAAGGGATTTCAACCCAAATTTGTGGCTCCTCGTGCCATCGCTTGCTCCCTGCTCCGGTGGGTTCATGGGTTGTGTTTGGCTTGGGGGTTGCATCCTCCAGAGACAAAGTGACCCCAAACAGGGGCTGGGGACTGAAAAACATTTGCTTTTTCTTTTGGACCAAAAAATAGTCATCTGAGAAGATTCAGCAGAATTTCAGATCTCCATCTATTAGCCAGCTTCAGGCCAAAAGCTTTTTGAAAAGTGGGCAATCAGGCATTGATCAATGCGTCAGAAACCCCATGCATGTGTTACACCGCATTGCCGCCTCTACCCAGAGGAAAACACAGCTTCTCTGTCTCACTCCGCTCTGCCATCACTTTCCAACCCCTCTTTGCTCGGCTATTCAATAGCAAAGCCTGGGCAATATATTATTTTTTTTTTAGCTACAAAGTGTTTTCTATTCTAATGCCTCTTTATATAAAAACGTAAAGGTGCCATTTTTGACAGTTTGACAACATAAATATGTGCGCTGCGGTAGCTTGATGCATTAATATGAGGTCTGTGAAGTGCGTGGCTCGGCTTGCTTTTCTTCCCAGCTGCGCTTGGTCCCTTTTTTTAAGGTCAAAGTACAGCTTTATTGGGTTGCCCTAAATCTCACCTGTGCTGGAGACATCTCCAAGCGCTGCCTGCTCTTTGCCTGCACCCACCAACCTGCTTTTATCTGTATTCTTCGAAGGCTGCATCAACGTCATGACAGCTTTTCCAATTGCACCTGGAAACTTGTTTGGTTTTCTCCTGTTGGGATTTCATGGGGTTGTGTCTGGTGCTGGTGGTGGGTTGGGCACCAGGGTGCAGGAAAAGTGAGGGGGATGCTGGGAGGGATTTCAGAGCTCAGCCTCAGGGAAATTTTGGGAAGCCCAGGACTGCGTGAGTGCCCATCCCTCAGCCCAGAATTCATTTCCAGACTCAGTTTATTCCCCCTTGAGGCTTCTGTTCTGCTGGTGCTACCCTAGGAGATCCCTTGGAGGCTCTCAGGGGAAAGCATCCCTTTCATCCCCACAGGGATGCTCCCTTGTGCCTGCAGTCCTTGTCTGGTCTCTCCTTGGTTGAACATTTTTGGGAGCTTCTTGGGACATCTCTGATCATCTGCTGCAGGAAAAAAAACTCTTGCCACCATGTGGAGGTCTCCATCCCATGTGTGTTTCCTTATCTGACCCTGCTTCATGGGACACGGAGGCCTTTGCTAAGGGATATGACAGCCCTGGGGACTCTTCTGGCAGCTGCTGCTTGGGTGTTGTGGGGAATGAGTCTGGGAAGAGGACAGTGAGGTGTGAGCTGGACTGGGAATGGTTGAGGATAATGGGAATGGTCTAGGATACTGGAAATGGTGCAGAGTGTGGCACTGGGGAGAGCAAGGCTGGTGACCCTGCACAGGGCAAAGCATTGCTCTTCAGACAGGATTTTTCTGAAGGGATTCCAGTTCTCCCCATGGGCTTATGGGAATAACTTTAAACCAGACTTGGGGAAAACCAGTCCCAGATGTCTCATAGAGCTAATGACAGATACAAGTCCACAGTGTCCGAATATCCCTGTCCACTCCTCCCCACGCGCATCCCTGGCTGACCGTATGCAGAAAGGCTCGTTTTCTTCTGGGTGCCCAGACGTGGTCGCTCGAGGACGGTTTTTTCCAACAAGAAAAAAAGAGCAATTTCTTGTAGCTGTTAAAGAAATCTCTGTTTTCCTGCCGGCAAACTGGAAGCAGCTGCCTGTCCCTGGAAGGGGCTTCACCGCGCCGTGCCGCCCGGCGCTGCCGCAGCAGGGTTATTTATAGGCGGGTTTATTTTTACTTTTTCACGTCCGTACGTTTTCCTTCCTGCTCGTTTGTGATATTCAAGGATCGTCTCATTAGCAGAAAGAAATCTCCCCTTCCAAACACCACAGCCTGCAGGCAAAAGCTGAGAGAGGAAACTGAGGCAGCAGCTTGCTGATGGTGTGATGCTTTGGGTTAACGCTCTGGCTTTCTCTGCTTTAACCATTGGTCTGGCCAGATGACTGCGATCAGCACTGCTTGGTATCTTCATGAACAACATAGATGGTAGGATCCAGTGCACCCTCAGCACGTTTCTAAGTGGCACCAAGCTGAGTGGTGCGGTTGAGATGCCCGAGGGACGGGATGCCATCCAGAGGGAGCTGGACAAGCTGGAGAAGTGGGCCTGTCTGAACATCATGAGGTTAAACAAGGCCAAGTGCAAGGTCCTACACCTGGGTAGGACAACCCCTGGTATCATTATAGGCTGGAGAAGAGAAGGCTCTGGGGAGGCCTTCCAGTACCTGAAGGGGCTACAGAAAAGATGAGGAGGGACTTTTTAGCAGGGTCTGTTGCAATAGGGCAAGGGATGATCGTTTTAAACTAAAAGAGAGGGCATTCAGACTAGATTTAAGTGAGAAATTTTTTACCTTGAAGATGGCGAAACACTGGCACAGGTTGCCCAGAGAGGTGGCAAATGCCCCATCCATGGAAACGTTCAAGGTCAGGTTGGACGGGGCTCTGAGCGACCTGAACTGGTTGAAGATGCGCCTGCTTCTGGCAGTGGGATTGGACTTGGTGACCTCTAAAGGTCCTTTCCCACCCAAACCATGATGTGGTTCTTGAGTTGACTCTCATAATGTGACCGTCTGGGTTAGAAAGGAAGAAGAAATTCAGCGTATTTGGCAGAGGGAGGTTGTGACTCCAAAGAGCGCTTCCATCAGAGCCGCTAATAGATTCTCTCTTGGGTAATGAGCGGTGGGGACAGTTAACATTCATCTTAATTAGTCGTCAGCGAGAGCGAATGGGAGCCTCAGTGCTTTGAGTGCTGCATAATGGATAGCACTAAACGGCATCAAAGTCCTCGGCCCAGTGGAAATGAAAGGGCTGAAAAATGCCGTGTTTGCTGCATGCAGGCAAATGAGAGGTTGTTTTTGCTGGTGTTGAAGGCTCTCGAAGGCTTCTTGAGACTCCTGGTCCCAGCCCCCATTGGTAGCAATGTGAGGAGGGGAGGTAAAGCCTCAGCCCCCCAGGAGGTCCTGCAAAGGACAACGTCTTCACAGTTTTCTAATGCTATTTAAACAGCCCGAGCCACCCACGAAGGTAATGGATTGCAGAAACAACCAGGTTTTGGGATTCTGGGTGTTCTTGCTGGGAAAAAAAAAAAAAGGAAGATTTTAATGCTTATTGATCCAAGGTTCCTGGGTCTCATCGAGTCTGTAGTGAGTGAGGGGATCAGCACACTGGGTGCAGCTTTCAGAGGGGGCTCCAATGTTGTTTGCAAGCAAGGTTCACAAGGCTGATAGGCAGGAGAGAGGAGGTTTGGGATGGAGCTTGCCCCTGCTTTGAGCTCTCGCTGGCTTGTGTGGGGGATTTGGCGCAGCTTTTCTAAGAAGATTACTTGATTTTTAGTTAAAAGCTCAAATGTGGCACTAGGAACCTGTGCGAAGACCCTGGAGTTTGTCCCTGATTTATGTCCCTGCTGTGATGCGTTCAGAAGACCAAGGGGAACATTAGGAGAAGAACGTTAGAAATTAAGCTTGACCATGGCAGGGCTATATAAAGAGAATTAATTTGTCGAAGGTGCCTTTCAGCAGAAGAATGTGGAGTATTTCTGCAGGAGAGGAAGCGTCTCCCAAACCCTTCCCTGGAGCTGGTGGTTAGTGGTGGGGAGCTGAGTGTCAGGGGTGGACATAAACCCAGGCTCTTTTCTGATCCCAAAAATGAGAATAAAGTTTGCTCTTTCTTCCTCCATGGCAAAGCAAACTGGCTTTAACAACAGG